AACAAAAACACCCGAAATCCCACCCATCCCACCCACTCCTATACCGGATCCTCTGAAACAACAAAAGTTGATCTTGAATTAATACAAAGTGATACAATGAACAGGTTTGTGTATAATGAAACAATATTTAATCTTTACACAAAATTACCTGACAAAATTTTTTCTACATAAGATAAAAATGGCTGCCAAATGTCAAAAAATTTGTTTACAGATCCCCTAACAGTTTATCTAATCTTCTCTAAATGAATGTAAGACATAACTTCTCTTAACCAATGACCATAAACTGGAGGATGTTATAAAGCATTTGCTTTGTTTTTAAATGAAATGAATATTTTTTTAAAATAAAGAAAATCTCCAACTATTTAGGCAAAAGTTCAAATATTTCACAAAAAAAAAACGTGTTTGTTGAACAAGTGAAACCAAAGAGTCTTGAATGAGTTGGAAGAAAACTTGCTCGGAATGTTCTGAATAAATACACAAACGGCTTGCCATAGACGGGCTACTTCCCAGCCGACGCACCGACACTCCATCACAACCTGTGGAGAGCGCGCGCGCGGTGCCTCCCTCTCCCCCCTCCTCTCTCTCTCCGACACGGAGCCCGGATCTCGGACTCTCCTCCATGACCCGGGAGAGGGTGCCAGCTCGATTCCCGGCAGGAGGAGGAGGAGAGCAGCGGGAAAGTTGAAGCGTCGCGCGCCACCTCCTCCTCCTTCCTCCTCCTCCGCTTCATGAATGGCCGGACCGTCATGGAGGAGACGCCGTTCGACAGAGTCAAGACGAGGCGGAGGAAGAAGGGTCACCGGCCGGCCGCCGGTGAGGAGGAGCAGCGGTGCAGCGCGGAGCTGGAGGCGCTGTTCCAGAGCTACAACCTGAAGCTGGAGCAGACCTCCACCCTGAAGGCGCTGGCGGTGCTGATCGTGGCCGCCTCGGCGCTCTCCCTGGTGGAGCTGCTGTCCAGCCCGCGGCTCACCCTGTCCAAGGGCTCCCACCCGGTGCACTGCGTGGTCTTCCTCTCGCTCTTCATCGTCGCCAACGTCAAGTACCTGCAGGTGACGCAGCTGCAGCAGATCGCCAGGCTCGCGCTGCTCTTCAGCTTCACCTTCGCGCTGCTCTGCTGCCCGTTCCCGCCGCCGCTGGCGCCCGGCGCGCCGGAGCCCACGCCCGGCGCGGCCCCGGAGCGCGGCGTGTGGCAGCTCATGCTGGTCACCCTCGTGGCGTACGCGCTGCTTCCGGTCCGCACGCTGCTGGCGGTGCTGTTCGGGGTCGTGCTGGCCGCGGCCCACTTCGTCGTCATCGCCACGTCCGGCACCGGGAGGAGGCAGAGGCTGTGGAGACCGGTGAGTGCTGCACCTGTCCGGGACCAACTCACCTGGTGGTGGACAGGTGAGCTGAGAGGAGGAGGAGGAGGACAGGTGAGCTGAGAGGAGGAGGAGGAGAGGTGAGCAGAGAGGAGGACAGGTGAGCAGAGAGGAGGACAGGTGAGCAGAGAGGAGGAC